ATGATACAGATCTGAAAATAATTTTGATTTATTAAAATAATTATTTATATAAATTGCTAGAATATCAAAATTATTCTTTTATTTATTATATATAAATTGTTTGTCATGCTTAAGTATCCCACATAATTATTCTAACTGTTCAACAAAATTATTTTCAGATCTAGCTAAATATTTAGATACTCCAGCAAAACATTTTCCGTATAATATCGTTATTCCATTATTAATGCATGACGTGTTTTATCGTTATTACGTAACATTTTATTTGTCTTTTATTTTTATCAAAAAGTACATGTACATGGTATGCTATTATATTCGATAAGTAAAATATCGTGCACTTGGGTTAGATAAAAAAAACTTAGTCACCATACGAGCGTAATTCCTGCAATTGCATCATATGTAATTGTGCACACGCTATTCCACGCTAGCGAATTATTTACGTAATCAGTGGCGATAGTAAGCAGATATTTTTCGAAATGATCATATAGTAAGTTAACACCGGTGTATTGGTTTCACCTGTGAATATTACGTTTCTCTCGTTCCCTACTCATTTTTTCCCATATCACCGTCCACGCGTTCATAATGAATAATGTGCGAAACCTGGCTAGTTGATTGTATACGCCTTCCGGGAAACGTCGGTGCGATGCACCAATGTGCGGTTAACAATGTTAAGTTTTATTAAAACGCGCGGTTTCAGACTGAAACGTGTCAGTGTACGATGCAATCACTCAGAGTGTCACGTATTGCATCAGAATTAGATGCATTTGAAGGTGTGCCGTTGAAACATTAACTCGTTTTTTTCTTTAGCTTCTCATCCTCTCTCGTGTTCTTTCCTTCTTTAAGAGCGAAATCTCATTTTAATTTTAAGCACGAAAGGCGTAAAAGCATGCAGAAAGAAGCAAATTATTAGAGCATAACGAATACTAGGAAGATCTTTCTCTTTCTCTCTCTCTCTCTCTCTCTCTCTCTCTCTCTCTCTGTCTTTCTCTCTCTCTCTCTTAGATTTTGTAAAATTTATATTAATATATAATAGTAATTTAGATTTCAGATTATTTGTAAAAGTTCTATTTTAAATAACTGAGGAAGTTAATAGAGATTCATTCATTCATTATTCTTTTTTTTTTATTCAAACCAGATTTTGGACTAATTATATGAAAAATTAGGTTTCGGTGAAATTTTAATTTTCACATATAATATAAGGTGGTGAAGACAAGTCATCACAGACCTAAGACTTAATAATGGATAGTTTAGGGTTCTTTTATGATTATTCATTGTATACAAATTTTTATTCTAGTCATAACTTTAATAAGAACCATACAATGTATCATATATATATTATTTTAATTTTTTTATTAATTTATTTACTTTTACTTATTTCTTACTTGAAAAAAATTTTATCATATATCCAGTCATTAATGTTGCTATAATTACATATTATGTCTTAATTTGAGGAGAAATATTAAAACGTGTAATAAATAATATGTAATAATCTATATAATATTCTATTCTACTTTATTCTCTCGTTTTGTTAAATTTGTGATTGTCATAAGCGATTAATGGACCTCTGGGTCAATACGAGAGTTCACATACGTGCGATAGACATCCGCGACCGATAGTCGCAGGGAGAAAGTAATTGTATTTGTCAGTTGTCGATTTATGCGATATTGAACGTATTGATGCTAGATTAATAGCGACCATCTCCCTTCTTCCAACAAATGGGAATGTAACGAGAGTTTGTAGCAAAAAGTAATTCATTTTGGATATTGCCGTAGTTTCTAGGTTAACGCGCCATTAAATGAATATTATGTGGCATACTGCAGACTGTGCAATCGGTTAGCATTACAATCGCAATATTAGACAAAAAGATTCCATATACGACTCTTTCATCGATTTTTTATTTTTCCTTTTTGCGAAGTAAAAGTATTCCGTAATTTTTTCCCGAGAAGGATTTTTTTATGCCTCTTCTTTCATAGTTATACATGTATCTTTCTTATACATATACGAGGAATTTTATTTCGGTTTTTTCTCTCCATTTATCTCTGTCGTTACCTTTCACATAAGAAATTTGTCTTGTTTTACTATTTTAGAATTTTCTTTCTTTATTTTAACGTAAATGCCACTCGATATGGCCTATTCAATTTATTCATTTCAATTTATTTATTTCCAAAAGTGATTTTATTGATATTTCTGTTTACTTTATTGCTTTTTTTTTTATTAATAAAGATAATACTTTTTCTACTACTAAGGATACATACGTTTGCTTGATTGTTGTATTTCTTAACGTTTGTCTTTTTGAAAAAAAAAATTATAATACAGTAGAACTTCGTTTATCGAGGGACAAGATAGTTTCGATAACTGAATAGGTTAACAGCATAGGATAATAGAGATAGACTAAACTTTCCTCTCTACCAGTACTTATTACTTCCGATAATAGAAGCTGACGTTCCCAGCAAATACAAAGTTACGTGTAATGTACTTTGTTAGTTGTAATTTCTCACTCAATAATGTAACTTAATATAACGCACGTATTATGTTATAGTTTCATTTTTGGGTGAGAAATTAGATAAGTATGTTACATATAACTTGGTATTTATTGGTCATAGCGATGTTCAAGCTCTTATTATCCGAATTATTAATATGGTGCCGTAGTTATATAATAAGAGTTCAGTTATGAGTTTAGATGTTTGTAACTGAGCATGTATAAATGGAATGTAGATAAGCAGAGTTTGTACTATATATTTTTATGAAAATTATAAGCAAGAAAGTTTAAATTAAAGTTGAGTTGGATATACTATACACAATGTGTAAGTGTATTGCATTCATGACAAAATAATATAGTGTATATTGAAAGGTTATATTCATTATCAAAACTTGGTTTTATGGAGTTTTTAGTTGCGAAATAACATCAAGTTTCCAGTTTTGCTTTATTTGAAGCTCATCAGTGCTAAACAGAATCAGTAAACAGAGTCAGTATTGATTTCCAAACTGACATTTAAACTCTGATTATAAATCTTTTGACATTAAATCCCTCTGAAGATGACTACACCTTTGAAATGCTTTCAAGCTACATTCACAAAATACCTACATTCAGAAATACCAAGAATCTCTTAAAACAGAGTTTCACGATAATCAGATTACTTTTTGATGTTTGAATTTTAGAAAGCTAGAATCGAATCTTTTAGAAAGCAAAATCTTCCATAAGTTACTTTATTAGAAAACGCCAGTCCTCACAAGGTTAATAACGTCTTTGGAGGTCTTATGGCCTATGTGAATAAACGTATTTCTCCTTCTCTCCCTCTCGACGTGTAACATCCTTAACGCTTATGTCACTCCAAGGTAGGAAATACGGGCGGAAGTGAGCATAACGGTATCATGAGGAAAAAGGGATTCGAAGCCGTGCACGGTTGTATATTCTCGTTTTAGACGCTTTGTATATTCCCGAACGCCACAAATTCGTCACGGTCGTTGCACTTTGCGACTCTACGTCGTCGTGATGCCTTTCGAGAGACGGAGAACGAGAGAGACGTCGACCGTGCGCGAACGAAGTCTACGAACCGAGGAGATTTTACGCTTCGATGTTTAGAAACGTACACATATTTAGACCATACTACAAGGGGGATTTGTTGGTGCACTCGTACGATCCGGGAGCACTGGCACGTGCCCACGAATGTATACACGAGCGTCTGGTGCGCACATGACCATGTACGTGCACCACGTACTTGACCGGGTCAAACATCGACGCGGCAGCTCGCAGTCATGATGGCCTAATGGGAAAATTTTGAACGATCATGCAGGCATTTATCTAGTTATCTTAAGTTCCCCCGTACCTTCTCGACGCCTATATCCCTGCCTATACCGGCATCTAGAATTGTACATCGAATATAAAAGGCATTAAACAGAGTTAATAGATAATGGCATTAAACAAGGTGTGCCACTTGTGTTTGATTATATTTTTTAATGGCAGATTTTTTTGATCTAATTTTGCTTGATCTTTTTGTAGCGAAAACTTTATGGTGATTATTATTTGTTGCATAGTCATGTAATAACATATGTGATATGTGTAAAAACTTTTTAGAGCGAGATGATAAATTATCGTAGATAGGCAATATGTTTCAAGTAAAAACACTGAGTAGGTCATCTAAATGCTTATTCAGCTTTTTCATGTATTTTATTTTCATTTTATAAAGACAAAAGTTTTATACGTTATCTCATGTTTAAAAATATTTAGAATTTTTTTGTTTTATCTTCTGTCAATTGTGTGAAAGCAGGTATTATGGAGTATATATTTTTAAATTAACATTACTCCGATATAAATATTATTCAGATTTTTAATTTATACAGAACTCTTTACAATGGAACAATAGAAAATAAAATAACATCGTTTTGTGTGTGTGTGTGTGTGTGTGTGTGTGTGTGTGTTATGCACATTGATAATAAAAAATTAAGTCTTAAACATTAAATTATGAATAATTAAATAAATAATTACTAAATAATAAATTAATAATAATAACTATTAAGTTTTTTATAAAAAAATAATAGAATATATAAACATCATATATTTCTATTCTGTTCTTGAAATATTTTTATTACCTACACATCTTAATATGACAAACAAAATCTTTCTGTATCAATAAAGAAAAAAGCATTTCACAATGAAACGGCATAACATTATTTATATAATATTATTGAATGAGTCTATAAAATATAAACGTTAAAGAATTTATTTTGAGCCTGTGGAAAGACAAACTTGTGTTATTTTCAGGAGTATTAGAAATAAATAAATGTTTATATTAAGAAAATTATCGATAATCGAGTTCGCTATTTCACACGTTTGGTAATCATTATAATAATTTCCAGGCGATTACAAAAATGCTTTTTTTATAAAATAAGCATCTATTTTACTTAGTAGTTCTATTACCTGCTTTTACTTTTAAATTTGTTTCTATTTTTTTTTGTAAAATGTACCTTTCTCGAATCTGAAGATCACAATGAAACTCTTTCAGGCGTTCTTAAGAGGAGAACGGTGCGCAACAAACCAGCATGGAATCTCAGGAGGGAGTCTTCGGTAGCAATATCTCGGAAACGGACGTGCGGCACAATCGGGATCCATTTAAGAGTGACGAAAAAGAAGCGAACGCAGAAAACGTGAGAGTTCTGTCCGTCGACAAAGTTACTGTCGAAAAAATTGTTCTAGAATCTTCGGATGGATCGCGAGAAGTATTGCTAACGAAAAACGAGTCTTCGAGAAAACTGTCTTTGAGTTCGGAGACGAGGTCGAATGTTGTCAAATGTGTGAAAAACGAGCGACAGAAATCGGAGAATAATGATAGATTTCGAGAAAATTTCTTGGAAAACATATCAAAATCAAAAGATACTATTCCTAAGACCATCGTGTCGGGCAGCCAATCAAAACTTCCTATTCCGAAGAGCCGAAAGAACAACGGTGTTAGTTCGAGAGAAGAATCCAGGATCAACCCGATTAAATTCACTAAAACTCCATCAATCGATAGTATCGTGATCGAAAGTTTGAATTCGGCGAGTACGGTTGTAAAAAAAAACAAGGTGTCGCCGAGGGCCCCGGAGAAATCTATAACTAGAAATGAGCATAATTCATCTTTGATAGCGACTTCGGTTTCCTCCGCGAAAGCAAAAGCTTTAGAAGATTTATTGTCGAAAGGGGAAAAAGTTGTTGACAAGATAGTGGCTGAGGTTAAGCAAGAGCAAGCTGAACAAGAACTTTTCGAGGCGAAAGACGTTGCGGGCGATAAAGAAGGTGACGGTATAAATTCCGCCGGAATCGATAAACACAATGAGACGTCTGAGGCTACAAACGTGAATTGCAAATGTGAATCGGATGAGATTAAGAAGCAGGACGACGTTGAAAGCCGTGAAGGTGACGCCAGAATTGACAGAGACGTGCGGGATCGCCTGGAGAAGAGTCAAGCGACTATCGATGATCTTCAAAAAAATCTGAGCACCAAGATTCACGCTAGTACGGCGCAGAGCTACAAGGAGAAGTTGCTGGGTCTTCAGTCGAATTATGTTCTGAAACCGCCGATTATCTTGGAGTCGAACTGCAACGAGAGATTAAGTTCCGAATTTGACAAGGATTTTCTCGAGAGGCATAACTTGGATAAGCGGCTGAAGATTGAAGAGAAGAGGCTGTTGGAAACTGATCTCGATTACACGTCTGACAACGACAGAACTAGCGAGACTGACGAACGACCGTCGAGTAAAATCGACGTGAAACGAAAATACAGTGCGAAAGTGACGGAGGTGGAGAAAAGATGGTCCGGGGATTTTCTGGATAATCGTTTGCAACGAAACTCCTCGGAATCTTCGAAATCGTCTTACATTGAGGAGTTCGACAGCGTGTCTTCGCGTGAAAGTATCGTCGAGGATCGCGACGCCCAGTTGCTCTTCGACCGGAAGCATCCGGAAGCAAAGTTCACGGAGAGGCGAACGTCGATTGACGAGTCGAAGAGACGAACTTCGGAGGAGATACTTGAGAATAGTACCGTGAGCACTGTCGACTCTGATTCGTGTCTGGAGGACAGAATTAAGGCAGTCGATGAAGATATCGCCCAAGTGGCGAATGGAGAGAACGAAGTACAGACAGATGATAATGACGATATCGATGGATTTGATCGAGCTGACGGCGAGGAAGATAAGGATTACGTTCGATGGAATGAAGAAATAGAGAGAGCCGATACAATTCTCACGACAACGGCGATAATTCACGAAGATCTAAGTTTAAAGAAAGAAAATATTAGAAGTGACGCAACTAGCGTTATTAACGATCCAAATTCGAACGAAGTAAAGAATAACTGCAAAAAGAATATCGAAGAAATAAGAAATGAGGAGATACTTCTTACCGATGGGAAGAATATTTTAACCGAAAAGAGAAACAATAAATCTTCCAATTCTTTTACGGTGATTAATTCGAAGGAATCCATTGATCCGACGATCTTCGTCGTCCGAAGTCGCGATAGCGACGGTTACGCAAATCTTATAAAGGAATTTGCGATGGAAGCGGGATCGTCCAAGGTGAAGAAAGAGGAGAAGCAAAAGAAGAAGCTCGGCTTTCGGCGTCTCTTACCGGCTATCTTCTCTCCGAAGGATTCTCGAAAGGATTACAAGAAGAAGGAGCAGAAGGAGCGAAGGAGATATGATGAGCGACATTTCGCTCGTTATCAGCAGAATGGAAATTACACGAGGTCGCCGGATACGATGAATCTGAACGAGGACATCAAGAGAAACGTTAAACTGGATAACAGCCTAAACGGTTCTATTATTGAGGAGAGATTGGACGAGATCAAGCGTGAATTGTTTCCCGAACAGGGGCCAATCACCAGTACGCCCGATCACTTTCTGCAGACGGACGATACGCGACTTCTTCGCGAGAGAACCAGAGGTTCTAGAGAGCCAAGGTCGTATACCGCTAACTCCAGTCTCAGCTCGATTGCACCGGACGATAGATGGCTGGAGCGAAGCGGACAGTTCGGCATCTCGCCCGACATTAGGAAGTACGAGCAGAGACAGAGACGCGAGCAGCATGACAGCCGGCGATACGGCCATCTGGAGCGCAAGCACAGTCTGCAAGAATCAAATCAAGGCGCGCGTACTTACCTCTTCCAGAGGAATCACGGCGCTTCCGGCCGAATCTCGGCGCCGCCCGGTGAACGGTACTACATACGGTCACGAGCTATTCACCCTGTCGATAGGCCGCTACCCGAGATTCCGCAATCACGGCTCGAGCTGTCGAATTATGAAAATTACCAGGACGATGTTGATCAGTTACGTGAAAATCTTAGTAGTTTGGACGTGACCGACAACGTGAGTTACCGAAATCAATCCGGACTTTATCAGAACGACAGGAATCTCGAGGCGAGTCTGATTCACAGTCCACCGCAGTCGGTTCCCGCGCAAGTTAAAATTACTCGGCAACCGATCGTAAATCAAAATCAGAAAGCGCCGTTGGTCGGGAGAACTCCGAAGTATCCGTCGTCCGGTTCCAGCCAGAAGTCCGGTGATTATGCCGACTCGAGTTGTACACCTAACTCGAGTCAGAAGAGCGAGTTTTCGCCTTCCAGCTCGAAAAGCGGCGAGTATTACTTGAACTCGCCTCGTAGCAGCGCTCGAGCTTCACCTGCCGATCGACCGCTTTTCGAAGATGCGCGTGATAGGATTTACGAAAACGAAGGTCAAACCGTTTCTGAGCCATCCAATAATTACATTGGAGAACACCTTTATGATGAGACTCCGTCGTCACCGTGTCATGATGAACATTTTGCGGAAATATCAAATTGTATAATGCAGAATTCACCGGAGAAGAAAGATGACTTTGAACAAAAATGTTCATCAAATCAACAATCGCCCTCGAAGAATTGTTCTTTTCAATATTGCGAGGATAACGAAAATACGCGAATGGAATCGAAACGAGAAATCGAGAAATCGCGGGAAGATTGTTTAAAGAGTTACGAGACTACCGATATAAGTTTGAAGAGCGACTCATTAGCGAGCAATTCAGCTGAGAGATCGTCCATTCAGAACGTATCATCGTCGAAACTTGGCGTGACAGTAGCAACATCTCCGGTGGGATTTCGAGTCAGAAGGTCACAACCAGACGATCAAATCTTGATAGCTTCGCCCAAACGAGATGTCATCTTCCAGTCTCGAATTTCTCGGCCATCAAATGAGGCTAGACTCTGCGATGCGGAATCGCCCGTTCCCATAGCGGATTCGCGCGGTATTTCTGGCATCGTACCAATCGAAGTGCGAAATCAGTACGGTGGCCAAATTTCTCCCGCTACAGAAATGAGGAAGTCTATGGGACAAAGAAGTGCATTGTCCTGTGGCTTCTCAAAGAGTATTTCGCGCCCCGAGCCAATTTATGGACAACGCGGCCAGCTGAGTCCCTCTCGCAGTAACGTGGTGGTCTCAGAGACGAGGGAAGGACACGAGAACGATCAACTGCCGCCACCCGATCCATACGGTTCGATTAAACCGTGCCGCGACGTCGATGAGAAAATAGCTCGGGTTCAAGGTCGTAATTCGACATCGCAAAGTCCACAGTCGTGTGTCTCGGAGACCAAACAAGTGCTAAATGAGCCGGGGAAAAAAGTGGCACGATCTCCGATACGCGAACCGTCGAATGCGGCTCAAGATATTTGTCAACAACGGCGACCCGATGCCATTCAGCAACAACAGGCTCCACTCACGGCGGCAGCATTTACGTTGGAAGGTCGACAGTCGTCGCCGACTACGAGTCAGGATAAGATGTACGTAAGCGCGAATTCGCTTCAGCGCGAACCGATTTACGAGCAACGCCAACGACAGCATCAACCGCAACAACCGAGACAAGGTCAAGAGCTATATGCTCAACGAATTACGGATGCGACGTGCGGTCAGCAAAATCCTAATTGTGGATTATTGTCGCCTTCGAAGCAAGAGACTAGGCAGCACTTGGAAGCATTTTACTGGCAGCAAAAGGCGTTGGAAGCACACCGGAAGTCGGCCATTTCGTCGGCAAACTCCGGTCCAAGGCAGATCGCACCGAAGATCGATCTGCCGGAGATGAGAGAGGCGGTGTATTGGCAGCAATTGAAGAGACTGGATGAGGAGCAGCAGCGACGAATCTACGAGCAGAATTTGATGGAGGACGGACTGTACGAAACGCATCACAAGACGAGAAATGGAAGCCCTATGATATCACCTGCGTTACCGAATCAAACCTTCAATTCTAACGCGCTCGGTTCCGTTATTCATAGGGATGGATCTTATTGGAACAACGCGCAGCAACGTCTCAAAGTGAGCCCGACCGGGAAACCGTTATTAATGCAAGTTCAAAAGGGCCAGAATCAACCGGTGCTGATAGTCAGGCCGCAACAGGCGCTGCGGGATCGTCAGGAGTTGTCGATGAAGGTCATAAATCCACGTGATCTCGCGGGATACGATGCGCAAAGATCGAAGAGCGCTTCCCCGCACTTCCACAGAGGTGACATCGAACGTACCAGTGTTCACATGACGTGCCGAAAATCTGTCGCGGATGGACGAACTGGCACGGCGTCTCCGGTAAGGAAGCCAGAAGTTGGCGGGGTTTACGAGGAAGACGGCACCGACGGCGACGTCAGACCTCGACCGCATCCTATATTTAAGAGAGGAAGCCTAATAGGGGGTGATTCCGTGGAGTACGGGAGCACCGGTCCCAAGAGGGTCAGTTTCTCTAATCAACCGAACGCCGGACCGGATTTAGCGGCTGGCAACTGGCCGACCAAACGTGGAACGGCACCCGAGCCGCCCACCAGGCGACACAGGAATGAGGACAGCACCTCAGACACCGACTCGGTATTTTTGCATCAAGATCGACATGAAGGAACTCAGGACGTTTCGTACGTCGCCCGCACTGTCGGCCCGTCTCCGAGGTGTCGTTCAGATGGCAGTTGCTCAGAGCAGGAGTACGACGCTAACAAACCTCTGCCACCTCTGCCTAAGGACTCCTTAATAATCTCCCGCCGTGGAAACAATGCCAAGAATTACGCCTGCAACGACGCCCGATGGAACAGTGAGGAGCAACGCGGCTGTCGGCGAAAGCAGAATGGTGAGTCAGATCTTGATTTATTTTATACTCACGAAATATGCGCGCGCCGCGCGTTATATCAATCCACATTGTACATATTAAAACTAGAGCTGGTAATTTACTTCGAGGGTTTCAACATTCGAAATTCAAAGATTCAAAGTTCTTTCTCTCTCTCTTCTTTGAAGAAATAAAATTATTAATTTAATATAATTAATAATTTTGATATGTTGTTCGGACATTATCAAAATTTGTGCCGAAGTTACCGCGATTTACGGTGAAAGTTACTTTATTTTATGATTACATTATTTTACAATAATGAGCAGAACATTAATTTTAATAATATTAAAATTTTGAAAAATCTAGAATAAAAGCCGTAAATGAGTAATTAATACGCCAATTAAATTTTTTTTTAAGCTGCAATAACTCGTGAAACATGCATTCAGCCATGAATTTTAACATCGAGATGAGAGAAGGATCGTTTGCATTTATTCGTTCTGCTGAATCGGCGGGAAGTCGCGAGAATAAGCGCGGATGCTTTTTCATCAAATAATCCCGGGTGCAAAGGCGTGCTTTGCAGTTTGTAATTCGGTGTAGACGATATGCACGTACCGTACGACATGACTGTGTATGATCGTGCATTCGAATGAGCCTCTTAAGACGCGAAGACGGGTGCATCGCGTTGAGGCACGTTCGTACCAACAGAAGGGGTAATGGGAGAAACGTTGCACCCTTCACTGTACTTCTTCAAATCCGTAGATAGTAGGGTACTAATAGACTCGAGGGTCTTACGTGGATTTGCCGTTTTCCGTGGAATTGCCGCGGAATCTCTCTTTTGCATATAAATGTATTTATAAATATCCGATTTTGGTCTCGCGATTACCTAAACTCCTTCTTCCGTTTACTTATTTGTCTATTTAGTCGATCTCTTGCTAAATCGTTTGAAGCTGTGCAAGCAGCGCGCGGTAAACCAAAGATAACTTCATTGGCTGGCTGAATTTTAAGATTAACCGCGATGTGGTTACTTCGGCACTTGAAATGACGCTCGATCCTTCGTCACTACGCAAATGCGCTTTTGGTCTCTAACACTTCCTTTATTCGAAATTTACATCGCTCTTCAAAGGCCGCATTTTAATGTATCCAGTGCGATTATCTTGTTCTCGTTTCTTGTTCGAAAACTCATTTATATTTATTTTTGTTCACTATATTAAATTGATACTGTTTAAAGAGTTTTTCGTAAATAATTTCTTCGTTCTGAATCTTTAATTAAATTCATCATTTTTTCAAGAGTGCAATCTATATACATATTTATGTACATTTATTTTATATTTTATATTTTTATATTTATATTCCTTAAAAGAATTTTTTTACCTTATTAAGGAGCGATGTATATTTCAGACTTCAGATTAAAACTAAAGTTATATAATAAAAATAAGCAGGTTTATATAAAGATAATTGCAAAATCAATTTTAAAAATATATATTGTTTCAATAATGAGAGAAAACAAAGAAAATAGATGATATTTTTCTGTTGCTGTATTAGATCGACATACACTTTTGACACAGTTCACAGTGTTTTTCTTTCTTAATTTTTATTTAGAGAGAAATATTGCGTCTCTCAATGTCTGACATAATTTCAGACATTTAAAGTATAAGAGTAATATTATCTTAAACTATTAGTGAGCAGAATCACGCCTCTAGATGGTATATCTTTCCGCACGGCGAACAGGGCAATTAATCGCTCGTTTAGGCTGCAGTAGATAAGGTCACTGACATTACATCCCGGTAAACTGTTCACCCGATGCGTAAGACGTCGCTTCGCCGACCAATGCACTTTTG